CATACGGCAGAGCATATCTTATTCTCCAGGGCAAAATTTTTATTGCATTGATATCATATTCATTAAATTCTTTGCTCTTTCTCGTTACGAGTCATTTTATTTTCTTTCATGGCGCATGCTTGTCGATGGGGTATTGAAAAATTGTTGAGTACTTGTGGTTAGAAGGCGGTATATAGTACTTAAGACATGAGAAGAAGGGGGCAAAAATCTTAATGAGTTATTTATCCCGGTAATAAACTTGCTACAAGCTTTTGTTTGTAGGCAGGGGAAAAGAAATCTATCAAGTGAAGGATATTGGCTCGCCAGGAAATTTAAAAGATGATTTGTGCAGACAAGATGTTCTTGGTGTTGCTTCCACTGGGATACCTAGTGATGATAGTTCTAGACCAGGAGGTGACAAAAATATTATCAAACAGACATATAATGAGGACATTGTTGTAGCTTCAAATGCAATTGTGTCTCTCGCTGAAAGACAACCTCCTCGAGTTATCTGCTCTGACGAACAAGATTGTATGAAAGTTAAGAATAGAATTCTGGATCATGAGAAGCACCAAGCTACAGTTGTTCCAAGATATTTGAATCTTGAGCCTTCTCTTGCAATGGATTGGCTTGAGATCTCATGGGATGAATTGCACATTAAGGAGCGTATTGGTGCTGGTAATTATTCTTCTATTTTTTAGAGTATTCTCTTGTATAATTTAGATGCTTCTTTTTTTGAACTCACATTTTTTATTACCTCTTACAGGTTCATTTGGGACAGTGCATCGAGCTGAATGGCATGGATCAGTGAGTGTTATATGGCTTTAAATTTTACCATCTATAATATAGATGCACTAAATTGTTTTGCATTACCTTGGTTCGTTGTTGTTTCTGAGTGTTCAGGTGTACGGTAAGTTTAACGGAGTTAAATATTGCTATTGTTACAGGATGTTGCAGTTAAGGTTCTAACTATCCAGGATTTTCATGATGATCAGTTCAAAGAGTTCCTTAGGGAGGTATGATTAGTAAATCTGAATGATGAAATTTCCTAGAGGCACTTCTTTCTTCCTTCACTTTGATGGCATTGGCCTAAGCTTTACTGTTGCTGGCACTTTTCAATTTTGACCAACCTTTACTATTGTACTCTTTCAGTATTCTCTCAAAGTTTGATTTGACTCATATATATTAAAGTATGCACTTTTATAAGTGAGAGATACACACTCTCTGTATTAAGCACTTTCAGTAGTGAAACATTATTCTTTTTCCTTTTTTCTCTATGGGGGAGTGGGATTAAAGTGACGTATCATTTTGGTTTCACACCCTGACTTCTTGTTTGCTAGAATGAGCCTTACTTTCCTGAACTATATTTCTTTAATGTATTCATTGGTTCTCTAGAGTTGCTGTCAAACATTAATATCTATATTACGTTTTTTAAGGTTGCTATTATGAAACGCGTTCGACATCCAAATCTAGTTCTCTTCATGGGTGCTGTTACCAAACGTCCACATCTATCTATTGTAACAGAGTATCTTCCAAGGTAAATAGGTTACAAAGATCCTATGAAACAAATTAAACTATGTAAATATGAAGTGACAATATGTATGGTAACCTTGGTATCTGAAAATTTTGTGGAATAGGGGTAGCCTATACAGACTAATACACAAGCCAGCTGCCGGCGAAATCTTAGATCCAAGGCGGCGGTTACGAATGGCTCTGGATGTGGTATGTTTCAATTCTCATCAATTCCTCCTAACTGTTTTTGTTATGTTTATAAATTTCCTAATATATGATGCATTCAGGCTAAGGGCATCAATTATCTTCATCATCTTAACCCGCCCATTCTTCACTGGGACCTTAAATCTCCAAATCTTTTGGTTGATAAAAATTGGACTGTAAAGGTACAATTCTCACTGATTTCTTTACAAATGTACCTCCTCAAGGCTTCATCTGAATTAACTTCATTTCACTCATGGCTCAGGTCTGCGATTTTGGTTTGTCAAGGTTCAAAGCAAACACGTTCATTTCATCAAAGTCTGTTGCTGGAACGGTAAGAATTCTCTTTTTCTATACACACACACACACAAACACACACACAGAGAAATGCTAGTTTTGTTGGATTTCTTGGTACAAAGACATAAAAAGAGAGAATCTATGTTTTTTTCTCATTCCATAAGTTTGAGAACAAGCACGTCCTTCCATCCCAGCCTCTAAACCAAAAGAAAGAAAATTAAAAAAGAGAGCACATGTCCATAGAATTTAGTTTGGTGGGTAAAAGTTATTTATCATTCAAGCCTGAAAATAGCAAATAGATGTCTTAAAATTTGGAGTTATCCGTCTTAAGAATATTCTGGACCATGCATGACTTGAGATGAATATTGTACTTGATAAAGCTTCATTTTTAATTGCAGCAGTTTTTGATCTTAAGAAAAAGAAATACAGTCTCACTAATTGTTGAGGTCAACTTTTTCAATTTCCAATATCAAGATTGATTTTGTCTAGTATATAATGCAAGGAAGTACGAGTCCTAGGCCTACAGTTTTTATTCTCACAAGTTCTTGAAATAGTAGGCTTTGGGAGAAAAACATTACCATTTGGGGAATAAAATTGATAAAGTTATTTTTTCCAACATAGGAAAATAAGAACTTAATAGATGATGAAACCAAGTACCATTCTGTCTAATGAACTTTGTAAGTACCATTCTGTCTTATGAACTTTGTTTTATAAAATGCCTTTGAAACTATCCCTAGAAGGAATAAATACTTCCAGACAAGTTTAAAACGAGAAAAAAGCTTGGAAAATTAATGAAGAAATGTAATAACCTAAAGGGAGGGAACAATGAGTACATAAGAATTCTCTATGATAATCAGAAGCCAAAGATGTGTATAATTCCAATAGTTACAGGTTGAGATCTATATTTTGTTATGCTATAGCAATGTAAGGTGTTTGGTAGTTGAGGCTTTTGAATTGGTCTTTGAAATGTTATTATGAATTCTGATAACCATGTCCCTGCCAATTTTAGCCATCATTCATTGTTCCTATAGTTATCATGCTTATGCGACCAGAGAAAACAGGGTATCAATCAGCAGTAACTCTCTTTCTTTTCATTTCAGCCCGAGTGGATGGCCCCTGAATTTCTTCGTGGAGAGCCCTCCAACGAGAAGTCTGATGTTTACAGTTTTGGAGTGATTATATGGGAACTTGTAACCATGCAACAGCCTTGGAGTGGACTTAGCCCCGCCCAGGTTCATCCTATCTTGTTCTGATATACTGTTTTGCCACAAATTTATTATTACTTGGATTGATGATATTTCTTTACGGTTTTTAAGATATATACTTTAATGCCGATAGCATGATCTTTTCAATCTTTCAGGTGGTTGGAGCAGTTGCCTTTCAGAATAGGAGGCTGGCAATCCCTCCAAACACGTCTCCAGTACTGATATCTTTGATGGAGTCTTGCTGGGCCGAGTAAGATTTTTGTTGCCACTTGTAGTCATTATGTCTTTCTAAATTCTTTTCTTCAGCAAAAAACTCGAGTAAATACTTCAGAATATGGTACTGGTATTAGTTAGCATTACAATATAGTTGGAAACCGAAAAAAGAAAAATGAAAAAAGGCAGCTACTCAGTGCAAAAGTTAGAATCCATCTGATTAATTGTATGGTTATTTGATTTTGGTTTAAGAAGCGTTTTAAGAATGTAAGATGGTGGAAAAAGTTCATTAATAAGATCTGATATGCAATGTGAGAAGGAAAGCATTACTGTTGATGAATATAGTTTTGAACTTTCTCTGATGACATGATGATCTCTTCTTTTGCCTTCAGTGATCCTGCACAACGCCCGACTATTGCTAGTATAATGGAGACATTAAAGAAGTTGCTCAAGTCCCCATTTCAATTAATACAAATGGGCCGGCCATGAAGCGCTGAGAAGGGTTCTTTTATACTACTACTCTCTCTGTTTTTTGGAGAGTCAAATATAGTTGTCAAATCAACTGTATTTAGTTTGCAAAAAATAAAATAAAGTCAGGTTTTAAGAAATGAGAATTGCCCATGGGAGTTGCAGGTCCAAAAAATGTATGCAACTTCTTATTTGGTCTCAAGAACAATTTATTGTAATCCATATCCGTGAAGAATGAATTAAGATGCCATTTACCTGTAGTTGGATCATCGGATTATACTCGATTTCAGCACTTATCATACGAAGTTATCCACAGGTTTGTCTGCGCTAATTTTATGTAGCGAAAGGGGAGGTACATTGGGTTTAGGGGAATCCTCCCAACTCGTTTGTAACTTCACAGTTAACGAGGGATGTTTTGAAGGATTACTGACATTCTGTCGGTGTTTCATCAAAACTATTCTCAATATACAAAGGGGAAGAGTCGACATGTCGACCCAAGCTACTTGGAAACCGACCACCAAGCCAATTCCCATCGACTCCGAAAGGTTGCCATGTGCTGCTTTCGACACTCGAATTTGTGGCCCGTTGTTAGCTGAACAGAAAGCTACAACTTCCATCATGTAATTCAGCGTTAATTCGACTTGCATGCTGTACTTGTGTTCTAAAAAGCGCTTAGGTGCAAATGCCAAGTTAGACGCGCGTTTTATTTTATTTTTTTGAAAAAGCTTTTTACTTGATTTTAGTTTTAAGTTTTTAATACATGACTTATGAAAATTTGAAAATTGTATAATTGATTAATTGTAGGAATTATTAAGTAAATATAGCATTTAATTATATTAAATGTTTGGTATGTAATATTTTAATTATTAAATAATTTTTAGAATGATTAGAAATAAGAAAAACATTGTTTTATATTTAGGCCTCGCCTAGGCTTCGGGGTAGCGATTGGGCCAAGTAGTTCATTGGCTCGCCCGCTCATCTCGTCGAAGCTCGATCCATGGAGTGCTCATGCTCATGGCACTGTCCACAAACCTAAGCTCGTGGGCTCGTCTTAAAAAAGTGATTGAACGATCATTCAAACTCTATAAATATTCCCTATTCGCTACAACAAAAATAGCATTTTACAACATTCCAAAAAATCTTGCCAAAAATCTTTTACAACATTCAGACTTATGTCATAAACTTGATGTTGTAGAGTAGAAAGACATGGCAACATTATTTTAATGTTACTAATAATCGTTTTGCAACATTTTTTGAATGTTGTTAATAACTTTTTTGCAACGTTTTTTTACCATTGCCAATAACTCTTTTGCAACTTTTTCTAATGCTTACTAATAACTTTTTTACAACGATTTTCAAATGATGCTTATATTCTTATTTTTTGCAACATTCATTGAACGTTGCCATTTCCTACATTTAAAAAAATAATAATAATAATGCAAATAGATGTTAACATATATTATTTTACATATATAAAATTCATTCCACAATATTTAAATTTATTTATGCAATAACAATAAAAATAATAGATAAATCAAAACTATAGTTTATATATAAAATTAACTTATTAAAAAATGATAAAGTACATTAATCGAAACTTCCCAACTGCAAATGTCATATCCTCATTCCATTCAGGATTGACGTCCTTCTTTATAACACGTATCAATTTGAAAACCCAAGTAGTAAAAGTTGAACTAGTGCTGGTTATTTTCACTGAACTTGCATTATTAATTACAACGGTGTTAGCTGAGACAGATGCGAGAGAAAGTCATTACTCCCATGAAAAGAGAGAGCAAAATTAGTGGATCAACTTTTACAGTTTTGAAATTTAGTGCTTGAATTCGCCCTTAGTTAATATAGTATGACAATTTTATAGAATGAGAAATGAATGCTTTATAATAAACAAAAGTGCGGAAAATGTAATCTCTCAAAATGTAAAATCGAACCAAATGACCCAAAACTTCTTTAACACTACCAATGGAGTCTCATATGATGTTGAGCTCAGATTTGTGCCACATCGGATCATACACCATTGTCCACGGGAATGACAATGGATATACCGAGAAAAGATTCGTCGGAAGCCACCAAGAATTTCACCGAAGATATGGAAAGTTCCCACTTGGTTACCTCTCTATGCTTTCTCTTTATGTTATGCTAAGTCAAAAATTGAGAGAATGAAGAAGTCTTGTAATTATAGAGTCAGAATTCAAAATTTAAATATTATACTATAGTCAATAGGAAAATGACAACACTAGTATAGGATAATTGACCACAATCTATGGTCCATATTATTCCTAGATTAGCACAATGGACTTCACACTCTCGAGACCAGTCATCTTGCACCAACTATAAGGTGTGATCCACCTTACAAATTTTCACCTTGGATCACATAATATCCATCGTCAAATTCCCCGATTACAAGTGATATCCATTAGTGTGGTCTTATTTTTATCATCATCGCTCATTCCATCTCAGTACCTGCACAACAATTAACCATTATCAATACTTAGTATTGATAAACATTTGTTGAACTTACCAACCGCAAGTACTTTTGTTCCAACATCTGCAAGGTTATCGCCAGTCGCAATTTTAAGCAAAATAAAATTACCAGAAGCTAACTTCTCCCTAATGAAGCGATATTTTACCTCAATATGCTTAGTGCGTTCATGATAAACAGGATTTTTACACAACATCAATGAACTTTGACTATCAATAAAAATCATAGCATTATCATTCAAGAAGTTTAATTCACATAGAAGGCCTTTCAGCCACATGCATTCCTTTACAGCTTCATTTAATGCAATATATTCTGTTTCAGTGCTGGAGAGTGTAATTATAGGTTGCAATTGTGATTTTCAAGTGATATAATTATCACCTAAAGTGAAGCAATAAGAAGTGGTAGATTGTTTATGATCTTTACCCACTACAAAGTCAGAATCTACATATTTTTTAAGTTCTAATTTGTTACTTTTCCTTCCAAACATAATCCCCTTTTCAAAGATCTAGCTAGGTATCTTAATAGCCATTTAAGTGTAGTCTAACGTGGTTTATCTGGGTTAGACATAAACCTGCTCAAGAAACTAACTACATATGCAAGGTCCGGTCTAGTGGTAATCATAGAATACATCACAGACCCAATGACATTTGCATAGGGAACATTACTCATTTCATGCATTTTTTCTTTAGTTTTAGGGCATTTTGCAGATGATAGGTTCACGTGTGCATCTAATGGTAGATTGACAAACTTAGCAAATTTCGTACCAAATTTGGTTATCACTTTATCCAAATAAGACTTTTGATTAATAGTCATCCTATTATCAGCCCTATTCCTTTTAATAACCATGCTAAGGATTTTTCTTGCCTCTCCTAAATCTTTCATGTCAAATTCTGATTTTAAAAGGTTTTTCATTTTTCTGATTTAAGCTTTACTAGGGCTAGCAAGCAACATGTCATCCACATATAACAATAAATAAACTTCACAACCTATTTTTAGAGTTATTAAAATATAGACATGTATCAAATTCACTCCTCTTAAAATCAATTTTAAGCATATAAGTATCAAATCTCTTATACCATTGCCTAGGACTCTGCTTAAGACCATACAATAACTTTTTAAGCAAACACACAAGTTCTGATTTTCCCTTCACCTCGAACCCTTGAGGTTGAGACATGTAAATCAATTCATCTAACTTCCCATTGAAAAAAGTCGTCTTAACATATAGTTGCTCCAACTCCCAATCATACTGGACAACTAAGGCTAAGACTAACCTGATAGATTTATACTTAATAATCGGTGAGAATACCTCATTATAGTCTATTCCCTCTCTCTGAGTGAATCCCTTTGCAACCAACTTAGCTTTGTATGTTAAAGGGTCTTTAGGTCCTACTTCTTCTTTTAACTTGTAGATCTATTAATAGTGGACTACATTTTAGTTCTTTGGTTTTTCAACCATCTTCCAAGTCTCATTTTTTGTTTAGAGATTGGATCTCTTACCTCATAGCCTTTTGCCAACTTTCAGAATTTTTACAGTTAATTGTTTCCTCAAATGTAGCCGGTTCAATTGACTCCAAGGCTTCACCTAAAACTAGGACAAATTCTATCAAATTTGAAGAGATATATTTCAAATTAGGCTTCACTTGTATTTTGTCTCTATCCCTCACTAATTGGTAATCATCTAAATTAGTACCTGCAGATGTTTCTTGATTAGGGACAACAGTTTCAGGAATTTCAAGTTCAGGTTGTTCTATCGTTGCTTCTTGATCAGATTCTTTTTGAGGTTGGATTTCACTATCCTCTAGATTATCACCTAATCTCTTTACCTCAAATTCCATCTTCTTTCTAGTAGAAGATTTTCCTTCTTCAGTCTGTTTGTTCTGACTTACTATGTTTTTAAGATAAGGCATATCAAGTTCATTGAACTTCACATCTCTATTGTTAATAATCTTAATGCCCTTTACACCTAAAACCCATAGTCTATATCATTTTACTACCTCTGGATAACCTAACATGACACACTTAGTAGCCCTAGGGTCCAATCTGCCCTCAACCTGATGTGCATAAGCCGCACAACCAAACACTCTAATATGTGACAAATCTAGGGGTTTTCCAGACCACAACTCTTGAGGAGTCTTGAAGTTAACAGAACCAAAAGGTGACCTATTTATAAAATAGGCAGCAGTACACACGGCTTCGTTCCAGAAACCTTTAGACAAAGTAGAATTAATCATTATACATCTGACTTTATCCATTAAAGTCCAATTCATTTTCTTCGCCACCCCATTTTGTTGAGGGGTATGTCTTACAGTTCTGTGCCTCATCATACCCTTTCCCTTGTAGAAACTATCAAATTCTAAGTTGCAAAACTCTAAACCATTATCTGTCCTAAGAGTTTTCACACCCTTTCCCATTTGATTTTCAACCAAGGCAAGCCAAGACTTAAACTTACTAAAAGTTTCAGATTTGGATTTAAGGAGATATACCCAAACTTTCCTTAAGTGATCATCAACAACGGATAGAAAAAATATATTTCCTCTATGTGTGGGATGTTTTTCAGGACCCCACAAATCTGCATGACTATAGTCCAATGGTCTCTTAGTGCTATGTTCACATATCTCAAAGCTAACCCTGTGTGATTTTCCTAAAATACACGTCTCGCAAAAACTTAAAGGTGTAACACTATCCTTACCAAGTAAATTCTGGTCACTAAGGTATTTCAATCCTTTGTTCCTAATGTGTCCCATCCTCTTATGTCAAAGA